TCTTAGTAGGCCTATCTGTCGCTCACTATTTTGAAATATATTCTGTATATTAAAACTAGTTCTAAGTTTTCTTCTCACATTTTCTGTTCTTACATGTCACTCTCGTACAAATCTCGAAATATTCGTGTAAAAGTGACAACCTTTTGTCAGTTCCGATATGGGACTTAAGATTTAAACTAGTCCTGTTCTGTGCTGACGAATGCCAATATTACGCATACGAAATGAGGCCCACGTGAGTTCTGTTACCTAAACTTTCTCGGGACTGTATCCGGGAATCAGATTTTGTGCTGAGATGTGCGGATCATAAGCTTCTTCGGATATTCACAGCGATTCGTTTCGTTCCGGAATTTGAGTGAAACTCGGTACAATTTTTGACGCAGATTAATTTAGTCAAAAAGACGGTTATAACAGAGCAGGCCTATCACAGTTCCTGGAATAGTGTCAAGCTAAAGAGTACAGACATTCGTTGTGTAAGAAATACCCAAAACTTTCCAGTCTGAAGCTCCGCGGCAAGGCAACAGAAAGGAAATACAGTAAAATTCTTTACGTTTTCGGGCCCAATGAGGATGCTGCTACATAGCAAGGTGGTGGAGCTCCCTCTGGCCCCTTCGCCCGTCGTAGCATAGCAGGCACCGGATCCTGGAGGCGGGGACTTGCCACTCAAAGGATCTATAACAGTAAACTCTGCGTCGTCTGCCATTGGATCCAAGCAGGTCACGTGACAGTCGCATGGAATCCAACATGGGAGTCTGTTGAACGGAGAGTGGATCTGTAAAGAAGGAATTTATGGTGTGGACAGTCCAGACGAGACAAATATGGTAATACAATATAAACATTCTTTTCCCGAGACAGAATGAAAGCAAAGAAAATGTAGGGCTTGTATTTGAGGAAATGTGTTCGGAATTTTAGGTTAAATAGATGCCTAGTTGACATTGTTAGAACATGTGCAGGCGGAGGGAAAAGTTAAGATTTCAACCTTGTGTCAGACCATGAACGTCTTACTCTTCCTGAGAGACAATAACGCGACATTTTCATGACCGTGAAGGGGAGGGTGAGATGTTGAGTCGGGAAGTGAGTTCTTTATGCCGGGTAGTTGTACTGTGCAAGTTATTCTTGTCGGAAGTTTGAATAACTTTGCATGTCCTGACGAAAATACCAACCTGTTTTCCATCTCTCCCAAATGACTGTGTGAACGTTGTAACTCAGTTGCCCACACCTTAGCCAGCTAATAAGCCGATACCCACTATAATGCAAAAATAAAAAACCAAATGAAATTAAACAATTCTGCCCACGAAGTAGCGGGATGTATGCAAGCTGCAGTGCACTGTTGTTTGTTTCTTAACGGACTAAAAATCTGTTGCCGGTTGCACTGGCCATGCAATTTAGGCACGTAATATCTTCGCCCGCATAAATACAGGGATCGCGGGTTCGAATCCCATTCGAGGCACCGACGGGCATTGCGATGGGTTGGTTTGATCCTCTTTGAAATGTATCTATTAGTTGTTTACGTGGTTAATATTTTCAAAAGTTATTCTGAAATTGAAATGTTCATAGGGCCTCGTTTATTGTAATAATAATTAATATCACGATACTGCATGTGTTCAACATAGGACATAATTGTACCATATAGAATGGCTGAAAGTAGCTTAGTTCTTGTCCTATAGGTGTATGGGCTGCTATAGATCACTGTGGCATGTAAATTAATGCTCAAAAACGCTCAATTCCAAATTGCGTTTAGTGGAATATATTGGCAGTAGTTAGCGGACTCTACCTCGGAGAAGTTCGAAATAGGATGTGAATTATATATTTCCAAGTTTCAGTTGTTCACTGTACTCTGTAGATACAGACAAACATAAGAGAGGGTGCAAGGGGCCGGAATACATCTTAATCTAAGCGTATCTCAACAGTGATTTCGTAATTTGTGCAAGCAAGACGAAATATTTTCCTTAATAAGAGGCAACAGTGCCTCTCTTAACAAATACACGGCCATTTCTCTTCTTAATAATTTATCAAATTTTTTTAATTGTTATTCATAAGGATGTTTTACATTTTCTATCTATCTGCCTGCCTGCGTGGCTATCTATCTATCTATCTATCTATCTATCTATCTCTCTATCTGTCTGTCTGTCTGACTGTCTGTCTGTCTGTCTATCTGTCAATCTGTCAATCTTTTATTCCTGTTGCTCCCAATTGGGGCATCTGTCTAATCTAAGACAGAAGGTAGGACTCCTTGCACGGGGGATCAGCCCGAAGCAAGACAGTTGATCAGTGGGGAGACTAATACTCGGAGGAAACCTGTCCCAGTGCCACTTTGTTAACCAAAAATCTATTATCACCTAACATAAGATCGAACCTGGGCCTCTGCAGTTGAAACCCGGGGATCAGCCGCCTGAGGAATGGAACGGCCCTCTGAGAGTCAAGATGATATCTGCTTTTTACCTTAGCAGTGCAGTTGACCTTGTCTCTCACACCATGCACCTTCATAAGCCTGGTGCTCGCAGACCTCCAGGCGTCTATGCAAACTGACTCCACAGTTGCCCGATTGACAGGCAAACTCAGACACGTGTTTCAGGAATTCTTTCATCTCCTTTTGAGATGTTATTCGATGTTCTTCAAGGATTTGTTCTACTGTGATTATTAATGACTTAATCATGTATCTACGTTTTGCTGATGATATCAACAACTGAAACGCCTGAAGATTGTCTAGCATTGATACTATGCGTGGCTGATGCACTGCTAGCTGCATGAAACACAGCATTAGCAATACTAAAGCTATATTCTTCCCAATAAAAATCAACTTACTAAGCTACAAGTATTTTATCAATCTCCTATAAACCTACACTATACTACAAGCCAGAAGGTAGCGGGTTCGAGTCCCGATGAGGTGGATTTTTTCAACTGACCTAATCCTTCCAGCCGCACTATGGTCCTGGGATCGACTCAGCATCTAACAGAAATGAGTACCAGGAATCTTCCTGGGGTGTAAAGGGCGGCCGGAGCATAAGGCTGATAACCTTACCGCCATCTGTGAGTCAATTGTCTAGACAACGTGGGACCCACAACGTTTCACAACCCTATGGGCCTCCATGGCCACTTATAGGGTTAGCTTTACCTTTGTAAGCCTACCGACCCTATTAAAAACCTGGCAGTATTTCTGAATTCAAAATTTCATTTCCGTAATCATTTCGACTATAGTGTGTGTTCTCAGCATACTGAGTTACTCGGTCTATTTCGCAGTGTAATCTCGTCCTTTCCATAGCTCGGATATCTATTATGCGTTATCCTAGTTAGATCTGAACATGAATGCGCTTTTGCTGTTTGTAGGTCTACTACATATACGGATGCCAATATTCCCCATGCCCGTTACAGTTATGCTTATGCTTTATAGAACAGTTAAAAATTCACACACTACGTAAGATGAAATATTTACTTGATATATTCTACTTTATTCAAATTTACTTTGGTTCTAAATTCTGCCCTTGTGTCTTGGAAACTGCCAGTCTCCGAGTTCCTTGTCTATATATCAGAGAATTTTCTAGGCCAAGCGTCTCTAATCAACTAACTCCATGGCCTGTAGTCCGCAACTTAACTATACCAGCAGAGCGACCGACGCTTGTCGGCGAAGTTAGTGCCAACTTTAGCGGATAGAAGGTGTCGCGTAGTCAGCGCAACGGATCCCCACTGTCGTTAATCTCGGTTTTCTAGACCGGAGCCGCTAATTCATTGAAATAGATCCTCAATCATCCTCATGAAGCTGAGTGGACCCCGTTCCAGACACAATACTTCTCAAGAAAAGCTGGTAATGCCGAGAATCGAACCAGGACCTCTGAATCTGTAGCCAGGAAGTCTGACCACTAGACCACAGAGGACCGTCTCTACTTCTAGTAAAAATGTCCTGTTGGATGTGTTTCAGCAGCTAATGTAGTTTGTGGGAACAGTGGCGTTCTTGCAACGAAAACTGTTTTTCTTAATCATATTTTATAATGGTACTTTCTTGATTCTTAAAATGTTAATTGCTTTGAAGATATATATGTATCCTGTATCCTTCCTTTTTCTCGCGGCATCATATTTTGTGTAATTGGATTGAGTGAATATTTATTATTGGCTAAATAATACAGGAGCTGGTCACGGTAGCCGAGCGGTCTAAGGCATGCACTGTCTTCGCTCGCTCGGAAGCCGGGATCGTGGGTTCGAATCCCACTCAGGACATGGATGTTTGTGTGCGTTTTTCTGTGTTTGTGTACAAGTAGAGGCCTTGCGACGAGCTGATCACTCGCCCAAGGAGTCCTACCGAATGTCTAAGATCTAGTAAACCGAAGTGAAACGGAGAGTTTCATGGAGGTAGGCCTAGGCCCAAATGAGGGCTGTGGCACCAAAGGAAAAAAAATACAGGTTGCCGGTCACGGTAGCCGAGCGGTCTAAGGCATGTACTGTCTTCGCTCGCTTTGAAGCCGGGATCGTGGGTTCGAATCCCACTAAGGGAATGGTTGTTTAGTTTGTGTGTGTGCGTTTCTCTGTGTTTGTGCGTGTATGTGTACAGGTAGAGGCCTTGCGACGAGCTGATCACACGCCCACGGAGTCCTACCGAATGTCTAAGGTCTAGTAAGCCGAAGTGAAACGGAGAGTTTCATGGAGGTAGGCCTAGGCCCAAATGAGGGCTGTAGCGCCAAAGGAAAAAAAATAATACATGTTGCTTTATTTGTCTTTTGTTTGTGTTTGTGTGTTTGCTTTGTTTCTTTATTTCACTCTCCCTTGCTTTAGAATTGGCCTTTGATTTAATGAGTATGCACATAAATGAATAAGACAAAGTAAGGTGTAGTTGTCCCTGTGCTTAGCTAATTAAGCAGTACTCAGTGAGCTCGTATGGGGGAGTGGATATATATCCAAATTCTCTTGACCTCGGCACTAGCTGGAGGTGAATGGTCAATTCACTCGCCGGTCGCTTTACCCCCAGAGAAAGAACTCCCGTTATCCATTGCATAGGAGACTGGATGGGGCCCATAATCTGGTTTCCTTTCGATACGTATAAATGTTCCGCCTTTTACAAAAAATTTCCGTGGAAAGGAACATATGATGAGTCTTTAAACGTAAATAAATAAATTGAACGTAATTAGCTGCTTGATCAGCAAACACGTTTCGGTTAGTACTATAGGAATGTTTTCTTCTTCTTCTCCTTCGTCGCCTGCTCCTCCTCTGAAATTTGATATTCCCTAAGGATTCACTTTAGGATTCTTGCTCCCTAATATTACAAATTCGGAGAAGTTCATGGAGGTGGGCCTAAGCCCACTGGGGCTGTAGTGCCAAAGAAAAAATATTGCAAATTAATGGTAATTAGGACATATTACCTGCATGAACATGATCTTATATCATAGAATCAAGAATATTCATTTATTGACCTGTGTTATTGACTCTGTACAGAAATGCTATTTCCATAATTGCCTGAGAAATAATATTCATAAATCTGAAATTATATCACTTACGCTTAAGACTAACAATATTAAATTTAATTATAAATTTTGTAACAGATTATTATCCCAAATAAAAACCTAGGAATTTTTTAGGCTGTTAGCTCTGTTTTCAGAGCCATGTACATTAAATTTTCTCTCTGTTTCGTTACATTAGATTTTATTTTTTGACTATCGATAGATTTTAGATTTTGTTTAACGCCGAACTCAGTCTAAACTAAAGTACGTTTCTGTCGTCTGGAGCTCAATCACATTCACTGATTCATCTAAACACGCAGAATTAAGAGAACTTATTCTTGCCTTTACTATATCAGATAACTTTTTTTAGAATACAAAAGACTATAATTTTGCCTGTGGTTCTATACGAGTGTGAAACTTGGTCTCTTACATTAAGGGAGGAACATAGGCTGAGGATGTTTGAGAACAGGGTGTTGAGGAGAATATTTGGACCGAAGAGAGAAGAAGTAACAGGAGGTAAGAGAAAACTGCATAATGAGGAGCTTCATAACTTGTACTTTTTTCCAAGTATAATTAGAATGATCAAGTCAAGGAGGATGAGGTGGACAGATCATGTAGCACGAATGGGGGAGAAGAGAAATGTATAAAGGATATTGGTGGGAAAGCAAGAAGGAAAGAGACCACTGGGAAGACCAAGGCGTAGGTGGGTGGACAATATTACAATGGATCTTAGAGAGATAGGATAGATCTGGCTCAGGATAGAGACCATTGGAGGGCTCTTGTGAACACGGTAATGAACCTTCGGGTTTAATAAATTCTGGGAAATTCTTGAGTAGCTGCAGAATTGGCGGCTCCTCCAGAAAGGCTCAGCTCCACGAGTAAGTAAGTAATTAAGTGGAATGGGACTAAGTCCCTTGTACTGTGGCCACTTCTGGCCTATTGTACCAGCCCCAGATGATAGGTGAGGGTGATTGTGGAGGAATTGGTGGAATGAAGATTGGCAGGGTAACCGAAGTACTGGGAGAAAACCTGCCCCAGCGCCACTTTGTCCACCACAATTCCCACTTGACCAGACCCTGGATCGAACCCGGGCCGCCGTGGTGGGAAGCAAGCGACTAACCGCTTGAGTTATGGCGCGGCCTATCAGATATCTTACTGGAATTTGTAATAGTAAATACGATGACACAGGCGTGTAATTAGATCGAATCTTTCAGGATGTTAATGCAAGCAGCTATATCTCCATGTCCTTTTTCTGATGAGTGTGCTTAAGTACCAAGTATCTGTTTATCTAATATTGATACTGTAATATTGTCTGTTCCTATCGGATTCAGAATAATGGTTCGCGCATTACTTGTTAACACATGTGGTACCGCTGTAATAAATATGAGTAACTGTGCAAGCTTTCCACGCTGATAAGAAGGAATGCAGTTCATTCATTTTCCAAAATTATGGTCTTGTGTATTTGTTCCTAAAGTCTTACTGCCTTTTGTTGTGTAAATTGAAATGCAGAATGCAAAATATTCAACTTTAATTTCCGCAAATATTTTCTATTGCGAAATGTGAATGGGCCTAGCTACTTCGCAGTAAACCTGTGGCAAATTTAAGAGGCTATAAACTTAGACTAACTTCGCAATAGGACAGTGCGCCCAGAATTCTCAGCGCAGACTGAAGTAAACCTATTCAACAGCCAAAATAACTTACTGGTTGCAATTAAAACTTATGAGATTCTAAATATATTTCAGTTCACATTTTGCAGTGTGATTGGAAAAATAAATATTAAATAAAATATATTTGCGCGCTACATTAATCCTTGTCAAAATTTGAAATATTTAAGCGAATTGAGTAAAGCTTGTTAAATTTGAGTTTTTGACCGCCTTAATTAGCATCATCCTCTGGGATATGACGCAAGGTATTCCGGTGAAATCCGAAGTTTTGACGTCATATCGCCACGATATTCAGGATGGAAATGCAGGCGAAGCAAGAAACAAACCTGTTCCTAGCTCCGTATTGGGTTTTTGCTTGGTTTGCTATTCGACTCTGAATATGGAGAAGATGCATTCCTCTGTAACGTTGTTTGACCGTCACGGGCCTTCGCTGTGTTATATCCCCGAAGATAGAAATATTTTAAAAACTTCATTGACAAAAGATCTCATTACTGGAAATGTAATTTAAGAGTTTGAATTAGGAGCAAAGAAATATGTAACATTTCAGTAGTATTTGTAATTAGAGAGTTTAAAATTTTCTAACATCTTACCGAATATTTTTTCCGTAAATATGAGCCGAATTTCCTTTTGTTTTTGGCAACTGAAGCTTTGTAGAAAAAAAAATAAAATTCGACGCGGTGAAAATTATGCTTGGTGTATACCCACCATTCGAAAGAGAACGGGGTGAATTGAGAATGACACACAAAAATGATGGGGCACGCGGGAGTGTAGTTTGTTGAGGCACTGTGTAAAAACCGGAAGATCGTGGGTTCGAGTCCCGATGAAGTGAATTTTTTCAATTGGCCTAATTCTTCAGCCGCACTATGGCTCTGGGATCGACTCATCCTCTAACAGAAATGAGTACCAGGAATATTCCTGGGGGTAAAGAGCGGCCGGCGCCCAAGGCTGACAACCTCACCACCATCGGTGAGCAGATTTTCTAGAGAAAATGTGGGACCCTCTACTCCTCACAACCCTATGGGCCTTCACAGCCTGTTGCAGGGTTAGCTTTACCTTTTCCTTTACATAAAATGGTAAAGGCTAATGTGGCATGGAGGCAAGAAAGCCTCAGTGTCTCTTTCTGAATAGCACTGGAAGAATGAAAAGAAGGAGATAGAGGGAGAAAGAGATACAAAATCATTTAACATACTAAGAAAGTATAAATAAGAAGGAAACAACGATAAAGAGAAATAGAGATAAAGAGGAACAATTAATTTATAAACAACAAGAGAAAGAGCTGGGAAAGGAAAATGGAGAAGAAAAAGGCTTAAATATTAACTGGATTCTAGAGGGTTATTTGTTAACAATTGCAAATAGATGTATAAATCTGTGCTGAAAAAATCCATTAAATTTACGTTCCGCTCAGTGTAGGCATTTTTTAATTATTTAGAATATTTCTCTGTGTCACGTGCTTTAGCTTAGCTTGGTCGTCTGCCGCACGTTTTCTAGCCTTAAAAGTAATTTACGTGGTTTGTTACAGCATCAGGCAGTCGGAAACCAAAGGAATAGAACACAATAGACGAGTAAATTATCATATTATATTTAAGCATCCTGTTACATTCCACACTCCTACATGTATAATATAAACTCCGTCTTAAATGCAACACTTTATTGTAGTTCTTGTCCCCCTTCTTTCACACTACATGTTTCGGCTGCAACCGGCCATCATCAGGTGTATTTCACTTCACGTAGCTGTCACACTGCACTCAATATTAACATTTAAACTCCAAATTTGCAGTTGTTCATTGCTCTGTCGTCAATCGGCACCCGATATTCCAGAACTCCCCCTGTCGGTTTGGTCAATTGTGTTTAAAATCTTTATTTATATTGACTCATCGATTGGTTTAAAATTTTAAATTATCAATCAATGCAATTAATTAGCTTATGGATTTTAGAACGTAATATTTAATCTTTTGACGGAATTTGATCACTGCCTGGCGATTTATACTTTTTCAACTTTGCTATAGCACTTTCAGCCTCAATAGGGCTAGAATCAAATAGTAACGGCTCGGCTGTGTGCAGTCCTATCTGCTTAACCTCACTGAACCTATGCACTTTCAATAACCGAGAGAAACAATTCTGCCACCCATTAAAAATTCTGTGGGAATCTGCAAGCATATCACCATTCTCGTCCTTCACTAAGTTACTGATAAGTTGGTAACCCCTCTTAAAGTCATTTATTCCTCTATGTAGGTCTCTAATGTTCTTGTTCTTACTGTTCATTGCAAGTTCATCAATTTTGTCTTTCAGATATTCCTTCTATTTATTCTTGAAATGCCAGCTGGTTTCACGTCTTATATTGTTCAAAGTATCCCAAATAATTTTGCTTGGATCCTGTAACCATTGTAGTTTGGCTTGTTACCTTTGGTCTCGTAGTTTCGAGCATCCTTCGTCGAACCACGACTTATGCTTCTTCAGTTCATAATAACCTAAGCTCTCTTTGGCAGAAACTTTGATATTCCCTCTAATCGTTTCCCAAGCTTTATTAACATCCACCTCAGTGTTTTCCAAAAAGTTGGCACTAAACTTCGCCAACAAGCGGCGGTCGCTCGGTCGGTATATTTCGCTTGCAGACTAAAATCACAGAATTTTGTTTGTGAACCTATCTGAGATTTCAACACGATAGTGTTCCTTACCTTCTGCCTCGTTTAATTTCTGGAGATTGAATCTCTCCATATGAATTCTGTGCGTTTTTTTGTTTACTCGCTGCCAGTTTTCCCTAAATTTTGGCGCCACCAGATAGTGGTCAGTATCACAATCTGCTCTCCTGAATGATCGGACATCAAGTATAATTGAATGTCGTTTCTTATCAAAATATGATCAGTTTGGTGTGTGTTTTTCTGACTAGAGATGTTCAAATAAATTTATGAAAGTGCACTATAATTCTGAGAGTAGGATTTTTGATGTGGTAAAATTTATTAATCTAAATCCATTATCATTACTAATTTCGTGCAAATTCTCATTCCCAATCGTTGGTTTCAAAATATCTTCCCT